TTGCGACCTCCTGATCCTCATGACCTGAGCGCGGACAGAAGCGAATTCAATGCTCCGTTTCACATCTGTTTTAAGACAGTCGCTTCGGCTCTGACAGTCCTGATGAGACACGAGCCCGGTTTGTTTGCTTGGCTGTTTTGGAGTTTTGTGGTGGTTGTTGTTTTGTTTTGTGTGTTTGGGCCCTTTTGGCTTCCTGGCTCGTATCTTCTCACCCTATTTGATTCAATCAAGGTGACTGTCCCTCTCGGCACACACAGCGCCTCCACTCGTGCAAAAACCCAAGAGGAATCAAACTTGCAAAAAGCTGCGGACGCACTTTGTTTTGTTTTCGGTTCAAAGAACTGAGTCTTTAACTCAGCTTAGCGGCGCTTGAGCGATGAGGTAGCGTTTTGGTGCTGCTGATTCGCGCATGTCGACAGGTGCACTCGTGCGCTCAGGCCCCAGGATCCGGCGTCACAGCCTACATACTCCACATATTCAACCTCATATTGGCCTTCATTCTGATTTGCTTCCATATTCTCCACAAATTTTCGCTTTTCACATCAAAATTTGATTTTGCAGATGAGAAGAAATTTGTCAGTCTTGCACAGGCCACAAGAAGTTTTGGGCGATGCTGCGGTGTCAGATCAACGTGCTTTTTCGGCGCTTTGTGATGCTTTGAATGCATGCCTTGAATCCTGCTATGTGCGTGATGATCCAACGTATTCATTTGGACAGATGCTTCGAATGCGTTGCACCTGATGGCTCGGTTTTTCTCTTTGCACGCGATTTCTTCCATTCTGCTCTTGTTGGTGACGACTGTTTCATGCATGTGTGGACTTAGTCAGTGCAATTTGAAGAGCTTCTTGGATGATACAGGCACAATTTTGGTTTTGGGGCGACAATTCATGGGGGAGAGGCATCACATACTACGTTTCGGAGCGCCAGGGCCGCATATTCATTTTTGGCTTCTTCATTGTATTGAGCGTCGCGTGGACTTGCTTTGATTTCATTCCAATATAACGCCGGGAAGCGTAGGGACAAACACGCTTGCAAGAAAATAAGTTGCTTTCCACCCACCATACAAGATGTTTTGCGGGACACTGGTTCTGCACATGAAAAGGCCCGAGTTCTTTGCACCTTCTTGTCTATGCAATTCATCGTTGGTTATTCAGCTGTGAGCATCAATATGTGCAGTATTTATTGCATCATTGGTCGATCGGCTTCTTATGTTGGGAAATCAGAGCATGAGCGGGCAGGTGTCGTTGGGGCTCCCTTGGCCAGAGGTATTGAACACTTGTATGACATATGTTTTCACAACCGTGATGGTCGGTGTGAAAATCGGAAGACACGAGCATTCAAACATGAGACCCTGGCCGACTTTTCCCAGTACTATCTGTTCAGTGTTCCCACAGATCGCGCTGATGTCTCTGAGAAGCTAATCATTCGTGTTTCTTG